AAACAGAGGTAAGAAAGTTACTGTCATAAAAGAGAGCGAGAGAAAGAAATACAGGAAGAAAGGAAGGGAAACGGCTTATATTTCTTCTGAAAAATGAATGCTGAAAAGCCCTTTTGTTCAGAAGTCTGAGCTGGTGCGAATGGAAGCAGTTGTGTCAGTTCAAAGTTTGTCAAGAAGATTCATGAAGGTAAAGGCTGCGTCACAGCTACACCCTCTCTCTGTCTGTCTTTCTACTTAGGCCGTGGTCCTCACACCTGTCTGTTTGGTCAAGGTGAGGTCACTGAAGCTCGGCACTGCAGCTGCCTATTGCTCTGGACTCAAAAGGAGTGCGAATTCAGTTTCTGGGCCACAAAAGCATTTCAATTGAATACACTCATGGACCGCTAGCACACAGTAACCCAATGAAGCATAGATGCATATCCTAGATTAAGTTCAAATGCTGCAGCAAATACAAATACAGTACACTGCAAGGGCACTCTGTGGTGAAAAGCCTGAGTACATGAACTCCTTTTTAGCGTTGTATATTGTTGCCAACTGTAGCCCTCAAACTCCATTGTACGGAGAACAACGAACACTTGGCATTTGAGTAAATCGTCACTGTTATAAGAAAACCTTGTATCGCCCCCAAAAAGCTTTCAGGGAACGGAGAAACTGCCATATTTGACCATTTATGAAGACACAATCACAAAACTTTATTTCCAACAGCTACAAGGTTTTCTTCCAACAGAGACAAAATGTACTTCTGGTCGTGTGCACAAGAGAAGGCAAGGAAACGAAACAATGGATGTGCACAAAAGGTGGCGACCAAAAGGTTACAGGTCATCTCATTGGAAGTCCTCAGAGCACACGGTTTCCTGTCCTCAAAGTGTGACCTTACAAACCCTTACCACACTTCAGAGATGAGTGGGTGGGTGGGTGTACCCAAAGGGCTAACTCCTAACTAAGATTCATCCTTCTGTGTCATCCCGTAAGTCATCCAGTCAGGCTTCTCTGAAGTGAGAATCTGACTCAATTGACAATTTCCATGAAGAGAGACTGGGCGTAATGAGAAAGGTCAGGAAATTAGCAGACAAGTGCAGAAAGAGGGGGATGAAGACATGTGACATCCCCTTCCTCTGATTTCACTGTGACAATAACTAATTAAATGTAGAGGGGGGCCGACAAATCTCCGGTCTACAAATTTAATTTATCATTCCGTCGGTAACGTGTGTGTGTGTGCCACCTGATTTCGATGACTCGTGGAAAGACAGTGTAGTTAAACATGAAGATGAGGCGGTTCCGGATTAAGTGTGGGGTTGGAGCATGTATTTGTGTGCCTTCAGAAAGTATTCACACCACTTGACTTTTACCACATTTTGTTGTGTTACAGCTTGAATTTTAAACCAATTAAATTTAGATTTTGTGTCACTGATCTACACACAATACCCCATAATGTCAAAGTGAAATTATGTTTTTAGAAATGTTTACAAATTAATAAAAAATTAAAAGCTGAAATGTCATGAGTCAATAAGTATTCAACCCCTTTGTTATGGCAAACCTAAATAAGTTCAGGAGTAAAAATGTGCTTAACAAGTCACACAATAAGTTGCATGGACTCTGTGTGCAATAATCGTGTTTACTGTGATTTTTAAATGACTACCTCATCTCTGTACCCCACACATACAATTATCTGTAAGGTTCCTCAGTCGAGCAGTGGATTTCAAGCACAGATTCAACCGCAAAGACCAGGGAGGTTTTCCAATGGTTCGCAAAGAAGGGCACCTATTGGTAGAATGTTGACTTTCCCTTTGAGCATAGTGTAGTTATTAATTACACTTTGGATGGTGTATCAATACACCTAGTCACCACTTTCAGCAGGTAATTCAACAATTACCTAAAACACAAGGCCAAATATACACTGGAGTTGCTTACCAAGACGACGTTGAATGTTCCTGAGTGGCCTAGTTACAGTTTTGACCTAAATCGGCTTGGAAATCTATGGCAAGACTTGAAAATGGCTGTCTAGCAATGATCAACAACCAACTTGACAGAGCTTGAAGAATTTTTAAAAGAATAATGTGCAAATATTAAACAATCCAGGTGTGTAAAGTTCTTAGACACTTACATTTACATTTGACATTTTAGTCATTTAGCAGACGCTCTTATCCAGAGCGACGTACAGTTAGTGAGTGCATACATTTTTCATACTCTTCCAGAAAGCCTCACAGCTGTAATTCACTGTAATCGCTGCCAAAGGTGATTCTAACATGTATTGACTTAGGGGGTTGAATACTTATCTAATCAAGATATATTAGTGTTTTATTTTATATTTAAAAAAAACTAATGTTTTAATTTTTCTTCCAGTTTGACATTACAGAGTATTTTGTGTAGATCGTTGACAAAAAAAATTCAATTAAATCCATTTGAATCCCACTTTGTAAAAAGTAGAGGGGTGTGAATACTTTCTGAAGGCACTGTATGTGTCTGTCTGTGTAAGTGTGTGGATGCATAAGTGAACAGGGAATGGTATTCTCCTGCAGGCCTGGTAGAGGAAGTCAGTTTCCGACCAGAGGGCTTGGCAGGAAGTAAGACAATGAGAGCCGAGACCTCTGGGAGTTGGATTTAGAGATGTGGGAAAGTGGCCCTCGGACCAGTCGGCGCTGTGAATTTGTACTTTTTAACGCACTCTCAATTGTCATATTGTAATCTACCTTTGGGCAGCGTGTGCTGGCCCCGCCACCCGAGCAGTCGGGAGGGGAATAGGGTGGAATAAGGGGGGGGGGATAAAGGGGGGTATAAGTGAGGGGGTTACATCTACCCTTTTTCTTTCTACCTGTCCCTGTTCTGTATGTCTTGTTTTGTAATATTTGTTTTGTGCCCAGAACTCTGGGTCTTGTTGTTCATGTCTGTTCTCTTATGTTTAGATAATAACTGTACACGTGTCTTTCATACCTATACACCATTCTTGTGTGTGTTCAATAAAACATATTTGAATGGAAAGTGGCCCTCGGAGAGTGTGGGAGAGTAAGAAAGAGAGAGCGAGAGAGAGAGAGAGAGAGAGAGAGAGAGAGAGAGAGAGAGAGAGAGAGAGAGAGAGAGAGAGAGCACAGAAAGAAAGGAACCAGAAACTGCAGACAGATGATAGGAGACACAAAAATATGAAAAGAGGGAAACATTTGGGAAAGAATGGAGAAAGAGATAGGAAGAGACCAAGAGAGAGGTTAATAGCTGTAGGAGGCACAAAAAGAGGAAAAGAAAAGAGAGAGAGAGAGATAACTAATAGCTATAGACGGGTTGGAGTGGGTTTGGAGGGGGGAGATGACAGATATCAACTAAGTTGTGCTTCATTAGCCAGGCGAGTCTAGAGACAGACCCGGAGCACAAACCTAAAGATAATGACGAGAGGGCGCCAGCGCTGCCCTTGCGGAATCATGGGACGTTCCAGGGAGGCCAGAGCCGCACGAACACACGCAAACACACATGCCTAGACTATAGTCTAGTTTAGCATCTGAAATATAATCTAAAACATATTTCATGCTAACCCAAGGCTGGGGCCATTGCGCAGGCATGGGCTTGGTGACATATGCTCCATTGGGTTGGACTGGAGGGCCCTCCAAGTGTATTCGAATACGCTCGTTTGAACAATGGCCACTATTAGCTAATAGGGATGTTTGAAAGTGTTCCCCACCCAGCTTAATTGCACTAAAATGTCTGTTTAAATTAACTTCTCAGAGTAAAGAGATAATGACATTGAATTCAATGGAACGACAGTAATGGGCAAAAGGAGAAGAGGACTCACTTAATAATACCTAGAATGTGTGTGTGTGTGATAGAGAGAGACACTGTAATAAGGTTTTTCATTATTCTTCAAGGAGTGGTGGAGGAGGAGGAGAGGAGGGACGCGGAGGAGGGAATGTACTGGAAGGAAAACAGACAAATACGACCAAAGGCCATTATGCTCATTTTCTCTGCCATTACAGGGCCGGTGCTAAGAGTATGAGCCCTACAACAGAGTGTGTGATAAAGGAGAAGGGTTCAGGCTACTGGAACCTGTGTGTGTGTGTGTGTGTGTGTCTGTGTTTGTGTTTGTGTTGGGAGTCCAATGATATTCGCTATGTCCTCCAATGTACAAATAGGGTGGGGGTTCCAAGTATAGGCTGCCTGCACCAAATCTTGGGTTCACCATGCAGCACAGGAGATTAGGTCCTTTGAAATATGAGCCTTTTGATGGACTGAAGATTGGTCGACGGAAGACTGATAGACAAGGAGAGGGGGAGCGAGAGATTAATAGAGGAAACGAGGGAGTAAGGAAAAAAGACAAGGATGGAGGAATGTGTGACAAGGTCACAGGGTGTAGACAGACAACAAGGCAGAAGCCACAGGGAAATGTCAGCCAAGGCTTTAGACGGAGAAGCTGTAGAAAATAAGAGCAGGATCAAGTGTTCTTGTCTTTTAACAGAGAGGGCTTTACCAGCCAAGATGATAAACAACAGAGTACTTGAGGACAGTGATGTCGGCAGAAGGGCAGAAAAGTGGACTAAAAGTACAGGACGAAGTTTTGAGAAAGATGCTATATTACAAAAACCAAACTTGAATCTTTATAATTATCCGGAGATACAGGTACTTATGGTTATTGTGAATGGTTGGTTTGTCGTAGTATGTATGGGTAGATGGAGAAACACAAATGAAGGATCAGCACAAAACACAGCATTGGTCTACGTTCAAAACATTTCCTATATGGTTTCATTGAGCTGCTGGGTCTGAAAAGTCTGAAATCCACAATGACATTTAGCCATACACAGTTTTTTTCACATGATAATTGTGTGAGATCACTTGGGTGTATGCATGAACATGTTCGCATAAACTGGTGAGAGTGTGTATGCCTTTATGTTCCATGTGTAAACTGTATGTCAATGTGTGAGGGGTGTTTTGATTGTTTGTGTACGAGGGCATAAGCGTGCATTTTCCCCAAAAAGTATGTACATGTGTTGGGGTAAGTGGTGGGTGTTTGCATGTCCCCACACCATACCTGGGGTCTGGAAGTTGATGCGTCTCATTTCCACGGGGTCTGTGGGATGGTGGGGTGTGATCTCTGCGTTGTTCAGCAGACATTTTGTTCTGGGCTCTGACTCCTTTCGTTTGCGGCTTTGGAGGGGGAAGGAAAACAAAGACGCACACCGTCAAGACCCAACAAAATAAAATGTCCACCCTCCACACAAACAAGAAGCTCTCTGTGCTGCTACAACAGCTTTAGCGCTGAATGTCGAAATAACCCTCCATGAAACAAGTTCGAGAGGCATATCTAGTGAGCCAGCTTCTCTTTCCCTCACAGTTTTTCGCCCCCGACTAATTAAAAACATATTTTACGCTGAGACAGGTTATTTTCTTGCCGAAAAAACACACAGCAATTAAGTACGGCTAAGCCTTACCTGTCAGGTTTGCTGCTTCCAGAGAAAGCAATGGAGTTTCAAATAAATATATAAAGAGGGGAAAAACACAACACAAGGAGAGAGAGGGGGGAGAAGAGAAAAATCAATAGAGAGCATTTTAAAATTCACAGGGGCTGCCGCCTCGCAGTGCTAGCTAGATAAAGCTCATCAGCATTTGGAGGAGCCGGTCTGCTTCGTGTGTGTGTGTTACTGTGAGTGTGTGTGAGTATGTGTGTGTGTGTGTGTGTGTGTGTTTATGACTGTGTGTGTGTCTTGGTGAGGGAGGGGGGGGGGGATGTCAGGACCAAGGGCAGGTAGAAACACTAGCCACCAAGGAGAGAGAGGGAAAGCAGGAGAGAGAGGAGAGAGAGAGAGATCCAAGGAGAGACGTTACTCTCCCTAACCACCAGCATGCAGAGGTATAAGCCAAGGTCAGACTAACTGTCAGGGAGCATCTGAAAGTTAGGCCCTGTTTCTCCTACTCCAACTTTGGCCTGCTTATTCTACATACATGACTGAACACAGTTACAGTATACTACTGGGCCTTGTGGTCTCTTAGACAGTATGTTGCCTACAACTGTTAAAACAGAATCAGATCCAGTACTTTAACTGCTTGCTTGCTCCAGCCCCAAAACACAAGTAAATACTTTAGATTTCAGTTACTTTGAAATTAAAACTAGGCTTTAGATATCTCCCCTTCAAGTAAAGATTTCATCATTTATATTTTTCTGGTTTCAATTAACACAGAGCATTAGCTCTTTCTCTAACTCTTCTACGTATTATTTTCCCCCAGTCCCTCCTATTTTTCTCCCTTCCTTCCCAACCTTCCTTTCATTAACAATTCTCATACTGCAATTCTCATACATTTGTTAGATTTTGAAAGAAAGTCACCCCCCCATAAAACCGTCCCCCCAACATACAGAACAAACGCCATCCCTCAGAATCCCCTGTAGCCTACATCCCCCAGAATCCCCTACGTAACTCACTTCTTGTAGAGGAGGATGGCGATGACGATGCAGATGATGAAGACCACAGCCAGCACGGGCCCCACCACCCAGATGAGGCCATCCCCACCCGTCTCCATGGGCAGAGGATCCACCTCCATCTCTGGGGTCACCACTGAGTCCGTGTATGGGCTGGCCGCAAACATTTTCTACAGAGAGAGAGAGATAGACATAGGGCTCAATACAATTAACTGCAAACAAATAGACAGATATAAAATATAGACGAGGGCTCAATGGAATTAAACTGAGAAGTAGTGTACCTATGCATAACATATAAACACACCTTTCATTAACTCACTCACACATCTGATATGACCAGTTATCTCTATACTGTATATGGATATCTTGTCAATGTGTATGTGTGTGTATGTATGAGTATGCAAGCGTGCATGTGTCTGAGTGTGCATGTGCACGTGTATCTGCATGCGCCTCTCATCTCCATCTCCAGTCCTCACCCCGGCGGTGGTGTTGAGCTCGGCCAGCAGGAAGAAGACGTACTCCTGCCCGGGCTCCAGAGGTTTGTTCTCACAGCTGCTGTGGCGGTGCTCTGTGCCCAGGGTGAAGGTGGTGGGGAGCTGCTTGAAGCAGGCCGTGATGTAGGGCTTCTTGCCATCCGCCTGGCTCAGCTGGCGCCTGGTGCGATGTTTCGGGGTGATGTCCCTCAGCAGCTGAAGGAGACAGGGAGAGAGTGGTGAGGTGAATGAGGGATGGAGGGGGTTGAGGAGGTGTGAGTTCTTTGTGGAGTTTTATCTTGGTTTGTTGGTTTGTCCGTCTGAATGTCTGTCTGTCAAATGTATCTGTCTATCCATCTCTCTAGATATTAATTAGTTCATCTCTATTTGAAAAAGTTGACTGAGAATGTTAACGCATGCTCCCTTAAAACGTTAAAAAGGGAAAGAGTTGGCAGACCCACTGTATCCATCAAAAGTACCTATATTTGTCCGTCTGTCTATCTCTCTGTCCATCTGTCTGTCTGTCTGTCTGTCTGTATCTATCCATCCACCTACCTGTCTACTCATCAGTTTATCATTCCTATTGGTCAATCCATCCATCTATCTGATCAGTCAGTGTGTGAAGAGGAGAACGTATAACCACCTGTTCAATAGTTGGTGTAAAAATCTAAATGTCCGCTGCAAACTTCCTAAATGGGGTTTTGCAGGTCGATTCCCTCCGTACACTCTGGCCCCAAAGTCAATAGGGTGCTTGTTGGCATGGTGCCCTGACGGACCAGGCCACTCCATTCATTTACAACAGAAAATGAAGGAGTCTGCTGAAGAGGTGGAATATGGGTAATCCCAAATTCAATAGCTTGCCGCTGATCCAAAGCCGCGGGAAGATCCCAACCCCCAACCCAAAACATCTTCCCGCGGCCATGCGCTGATCACAGCTCAAGGTCACCCCTAGCAACCGAGGAAGGGTGGGAGCAGGGATGTAATTCACTTCTCTCCAGGCAGGATGGATGGATGGCGGGAGAGAGGGACCACACCTGGGGAAAACTACAGTACCCATCCGACGTTGCTATTAACATCTCCATGGCATATGGCACACTTAGACAGAAACACATGCGAGGGCGCAATGTGACGTTTTATAGAAATGTTGTGACCTTTGTATATGTCACAATCCCCTTTTTTGTGACAATAACCTTGTGTGCAGATTCACAGCATTTTTATTCAGGTATGGTACATATGGTTAAAGTTTTTAGTTATGAAAAGAAGTTGAGTCACCTGGGAAGACCACTGTGGTTGAAACACAATTCCATTGTTGAGTTTGAGCAATGCTGGAATGTGCGTTAGTCCTCGGTTCTTACCTCTTCCAAGTCCATCTCGTCTGGGTTCTTGAGATGTCGGACTGTCCCTGAGCCCTTCTTTAGCGGTACCACCACCACATAGAAATTCCTGCGAGGCACACAGACATCACTACCATCAACATACAACATCCTCAGAGAGACAAAACACTAACTTACACTACAGGGACTAATGGGCTAGGTTGGGTTTAGTCTGAAAGTGTGTGTGTGTGTGTGTGTGTGAGAGAGAGAGAGAGAGAGAGAGAGAGAGAGAGAGAGAGAGATAGAGAGAGAGATAGAGAGAGAGATAGATCTCGAGAGCTAGAGAGAATCTCTCGCTCAACGCATCTCGACCCACGCTCCCTCACCGCCCGCCATCACTCACTACAACACGCCCTCCATACGACATCCCGCCATCCCCCTCCCTCACCTCCCAAATCCAGCCCTCCCCCCTCACTCCCTACCCCTTAGTAAGTCAGAGTCTACGTCATGTAAGAGTCGCTCGCTATGGAACACCGGAGTGAGAGCAGAAATGAGAGAGCAAGACAGAAGGTTGGCAACAGAGATGGCAAGAAAATAAGGTGTAATGTGTGCTATGTGGAAGAGTGTGGGAGTTTGAGAGAGAGAGAAAAAGAGAGGACAGAAAGAAAGAGGGACGAACCAACAAAAGAAAGAAAAAAAGAAAGAAAGATAGAAAGAAAGGAGGATAAACCAACGAAAGAAAGAGCGATGAAAGAATTAACCCCATCAGACAAACCCATAACCCACAGACAGAAACCTATATGTCCATTTCTCTCACTTGATGTCCTTGCTTTCCACAGGGGCGAAGCCCATGGTCAGAATGTTGTCCGGCTCCGAGTAGAGGTCCAGCTTGGGCTTTTTGACCAGGATGGGCGGTGCGGTCCTAGCGACCACGCGGTGGCGAGGTCCACCCTCTGTGTTCTCCTGACACGTGACCCGGAACTCATAGGTGGTGTTGGGCCGCAGGCTGGTGACTAGCGCCTTGGTCAGCCGGGCATCCACGTCCATCTTCTGACGGTTGTACTCAATCTGGACAGGGGGCAGATGGACAGATTGACAAACAAACGGAGACGAACAAAAAATACACATTAGGAAAGGTCTGTCTCAGCTCCGGGTAAAACCGCTGGGTAAAAGCATGCACAATGTAAAATTAGTCTGTAGGAGATATTCTTTGGGAATAGTTCCAAGATGGCATGTGTATGCCTGGCTGTCTATAGATATAATATAATTTGGTCTCTGCAAGATTGCATAGTTTGAACTTTGACTTAAATCAAAATTGCAGTCAGTGGCATAATTAGTCACAAATTAATTAATAGAGTCCTGTAGATGTGCATGTGTGCGTGTGTCGATTTGTCTGTCTGTTTATCGTTCTCTCACCGTGCACCGGAATGGGAACCGCCTCTCGGCAAACTTCCACGTTAGCAACACCGTTGTCTTGGTGACCCACTTCACTGTGAAGTTCTTCGGGACATCTGTCGTGAGGGAGAACAGAAAAATAAAGAAAAACGAACAAAACAAAAACAGAGAGGTTGTGTTTAGTTTGGAGAGTTGGGGAAGGAGGAAAGGAGAGAGTGAGAGAGTGTCAAAGAGAAAAAAAGGAAGAGTAGGTCATTTTTGTTGTCATTTTCCCAGCTGGGGTCCTCTGGGTTGGAGTAGTGAGCGGGCGGTGAGCTGTGCTGTGATAGGCTGTGAAGGGGGCAATGCTATTAGTTAGACACACAGCACGGGAGACTCATGGACAAGCACAGATGTGCCCGCTGGCTGGCCACCCGGGCAGTGCCAACCCCTCTCCGACCGCCACATCTTTCTACTAGTCACTATCCCCCTTTGCCCACTCCCATCCCAGTGGAAACCAGGAGTCGTTGACCCTTGTGGTTCTGGCGCTCTGAGCCTGGGTTGGCACTGCTCACGATGTGCTGCCTGTCGGGCACAAAGACAGACCCAAACACAGCATGCCGACAGTCGTTAGCAGTGCATCGGGGGGATCCCATGCCACAAACCTTCCCATAGTGGGAGGGGGGAGGGGGGGGGGGAGCAGAGTAGGAGAGGGGGACTCAAAACAAACTGAAAACCAAAGGAAATAAGGAACCGAAGTCTTGCGCTTGCTAACCGAAATGGACGGAAACGAACTCTTGACTGAAACACTGAGTTCCTACCTTTGTTTAGTCTCTTTGCAAACTGGGGGTGTGTGTGTGAGGCTGCATTAACTGTGTGAGTGTGCATGTCTGCAAAGGGCTGAAAGGAGACCGCAAGGTGTCTGACCAACCGGCACTTACCTTGGAACGCCGCGGCTCCTCCTCTTTTTCAAACTGACTGTAACTTACTGACTGGTTTTACCTTTGGGTTAGTGAAGTGAGTGTCCCCCGCAAACTTTTTAAGGTTCTAGGATTTTTTTGTCGTGGAGAAGAAGTGAAGGTGGTTGGAGGGGGGGAAGTTGTTTTCATTTTTGTGTTGTTGCTTGTTGCTTTTGTTTTTTTTGTTTTTCCCCCCGGGTTGGGAGAGAAACAGGCAAGCCATACCTGTCTGAAACGCCACAGTCCGATACTGGATCGGCGGGCTGTAGGGCCCTGGACCTACACTCGTGTGCGCGCGTATTTTGACGTCGTACGCCGAGTTGGGTTTGAGGCTGTTGAGCACGTAGCTGGACTGGATGGCGGGCAGGCTGAGTTCCCGGGGTGCGCCCCCCACGCCCGTCTCCTGGTACGCCAGCGTGTACTCCGTGATGTCCCCGTTGCGCTCTGCCAGCACCGGGGGCGACCATGCCAATTCTACAGAGCAGCAGGTCACGTTGGAGCTCTCGCTGATTTGAGGGTACCCTTGGGGTATGTGTTCGGGCACCTGCAGTTCGGCCGTAGCCTCCTCCCCGAAGCCCCCTCGGCTCTTAGCTTGGACTTTGAAAAGGTAGGTGGCACCGCGGTGGACGCTGGCCACTGTGTACTGCCTCTCCTGGGGGGTGAACTCCAGAGTAGCCAGGGGGGACACGTCCTTACGGCCAAACTGAAGCCGGTAACCCTGCAGCTCCATTCCAGGTATCATAACATCAGGTGCGTCCCAGCGCACCACGGCCGACGTCTCCGAATCGTGAGCCACTGACAGATAGGGCGGCCCAGGCACTGTTGAGGAAAACAAACAAAACTTTTATCCATTTATATTTTACTCTAGGAGGTCAAACAAGGTGTGTTTTGAAGAGTGAGAATGGTGTGTGGTTTGTACATCTAGGTACGTCAATAACTAATAATAGACTGTGCTATAACATTGTGGACAACATTAAGGCTGCTCGGGAGGACAAAGGTGTATGTTTTGTATGTGATAAACTAGTTTTCTTCATTATCGAGTGGAATGTGCTTTTAGTGGGGCAAAAAACATTTTCTTTCAGTAGACTTGGACGAAAGGTTATGCAAGAACGAAGTCAGTATAAACAGACCACTAAAACCAATTTTGTCTGGGACTACTTTACACTTTCAATGACGTAATGTTGGGCCAGTAGACCTACAGTCCTCTATCTCAGTCAATTCCGATAATCACGTGAAATTCAATTCCAGCTTCAAAGGTCCTCTCAGCATAAACAATGAGCCATTTCTCCTACTCACAAATTTATATTCAGCATTGACGTATGTACAAATTGGAATTGGCACACAAAGTGACTGTGATGTAGCCTTGTCCCAGACCTGTTTGTGCTTTGCCAACTCCATTGTCATTGTCAAGCCTTGGCATGACAATTCCATAAGGAGTTGGCCAGAAAGCAGAAACAGACTGGCACCCAGGCTAACTGTGATGTGACTCTCTTACAAAAAAGTATTCTGCAAGTTTCAGTGAAAAAGATACTTGATAATCAACTCTAGATATGAGGCTTTAGACTGGATGAGCTACAGACTGGATGATGCAGTAGTCTAGACATTCTACTTCAGTGACCCAGATTCGGGGTTGTGGATGGCTCTCCTCTCTGTGTTTCTCTCCGTTAGTTAGAGGTCCCATCAGTGTGATAGAGCCAGTGTCGACACGGAGGCTTTGTCTCAGAAGTGAGCCGTGCTTAGTGTGAGATGAGTGCTGTGAAATTGCACTCCAGTCCCGTCTTAGCACAGCGATCCCACACCAGACTAGTCATCTAATGTTGTCTATGAAAATATATGAGGCAAAAGATGTGTTCTTTCACTTTATACACCTGACTCCAAAAAACTTTACCAAAATTCTATCCCCGAAATACTACCACACTACACAGGCTCAATCATAAACAAACACACACAAGCTCCAACACACACACGTATTGCGCAAGAGTTCAATTTGTGTACATGTGTGTTAGGCTACTCTGCAACGCACGTACTTTACATGCGTACATGCTTATGTGTGTGAGTGTGTTGTGTATGCGCCGTGCCTCGTGATTTAGCCCAACTCAGCAGACAGTTCCTGCCCTTACCTCATCCCTGCTGCACACAGGGCAATTTGGCCTCTTGCCCACGGCCCAATCTGGAGAAGCCAAAAATGTGTCTGGAGCCATCGCTCCCTCCCTCATTCTCACTGGCTGGAACAATTTCTGTTTGTGTGTGTGGATTTCTGCCAACTCATTTACTGTATGTGTGCACTCTTGTACACACACTCTTAGCCACTGTATAGCACACAGGCTCCCGCACCAATTGACACTCACATCTACCCCACTTCCTCATATACCCATACACTTTGTTCCTTCTTGTTAATGGGCCTGTTCTGGGCAGGGGCAAATTGAGTTGGAGCAGTAATGGAAACGCAGCAGCCTCCAAACAGTGGCGAGACGAATGCGTCTATTACTCCCCGCTAACAAACTATAACTTCAGCCCTGCAACCAGCCTGTCTTGTTTAAACTTGACTCTCCCTCCCCTCACATTCACTGCTTAGAAAGACCCAATGAGAACACCTGAGATAATGGGCCTGAGGTGTGTGTGTGTTTACAGGGTAGGCTAGGCACTACTGTAAATGATGCTAAAGGAAAACTGGAGGATGGAGGGAGGAAGAGGAGGAGGGGGGTGAGAACGAGAGTCCTCATGATGAAGGTGACAGGGGACTGGGAGCAATCTGCCGCAAAGAGGGGACAACGAGGGAGGCATGGGGGGTCGCAGACACCTTGATTACCCCCCTCTCTCCACCTCTCCCTCTCCTTCCATCACTCCATTCCTCTCCACTTGGCCTCCCTCAATCCCTCCCAGTGGAGCTGGAGGCACGTTTCCCATCAGGGCTGGCTTTAATGGCCGCTGTTGACACACAGTCGTCTTGATTGAGTAGTGGATTGGGTTTCCTACTCATTTCCTCTCCTCTCACACACACGACCGCGCGCACACACACACACACACACACACACAGTAGTCAAACACACATGAGCGCGCGCACACACACAGACAACACACTCTCTCTATTGCTCTGTAATCCCCCCTAAAGACAAGTAATACGTGTGTGTGTATAAGTGTGTGTGTAAGTGTGTGTGTGTGTATGTGTGTGTGCGTGCATGTTCCAAGTGAGAGTAGAAAAATTACCTTCAGCCATCTTAGTGGTTAACCTGCAGCTACAACTTCCAGAGAGATATATCAGGGGTTGTGGGCCCTCCTCACCCTACTGTACAGGCCTGCGGGGCACTGGTTAAGGCACTCCAAAAGTGCTCCGCTGCATTTTCACATCCAATTGATATCAGGTGTCAAAGGTAGCACGAGCTGACCAGCGTTGGAGGGCAAACATAATTGAAAATGCCTCCCCACATATACCTAATTTAGCTGTGGTGATGAAAAATTGCCTCGGCCATACTGAGAGATGCAGCTGTTTTGACAGCAAAGGTCTTCCGTAATTCCTTCCGTAAGCCCTCCCATTTTAATTTTCCTCTCTTCGTTTTTCACTATGCTTGACACTGACCCCAAAAATGTAAAGGCTCTGCTCAAACAATGTTGAAATTTCACAAACGTTCATTTAAGAACCCATTAGGCTACTAGAATGCACCACTAAGTGGGTATGACGAGAATCACTACATTAACTTAACATCTATTTTTAAGACAGAGAAGACAGAAGAAATCAAGATAGTTGAAGGAAAGCCATAAATATGCAGTGCTACAAGCTTCGGTTTGGTGCAATCAGCACTCACGTTGTGCTAAGTAGCCAATTAGGAGAAGGAATAGCCAGGGGGTCTGTGAGGGCTAGTGGCATCCAGACGGTTTCTTCCCAGTGTATTCCGGGGCCTGTCCAGGCATCCCGGGTTTAAAATAAACACTCCGCTCGGCTCAGCGTTATAGCGCCAACATGCAATCTGCTCACCTCACGGGAGAATGGAGATGGGATGGGAGGATGAAGAGGAGGAGGGGGAAGATGGAGGGATGAGGACTAATGAGAGATTCTGACTATTAGAGCGGGAGGAGAAATGGCATTTGGTGGCCTGGAATGTTAATGGACTTAATAGAACGGAGTAATGTCCTTCTGTATACAGTATATTATTTAAAAGTGTACTATGGATATATTATAGTATTCTTTATTTTACTGTTATGAATAGTTAGGGACAGTTCAAAATGTACTGGGGTCCAAAATAGGGGAGGTTTGTCTAACTTGATGTTTTGTTTTGAGGAAGGGTTATTGGGTACATTGGAAGGTAGTGAGTTTTTTCCCTGGTTTACATTCGCTCTTTTGCAGGTTTTACTATATAATTTGTTTAAACCTAGCAAAAGTTCTGCTTGCTTGTGCTCTACTGTAGACACCCTAAAGACTCTGGCAAGTGTGCTAGTCCAGTGTCACTTTGATTATGCCTGCACATCATGGTTCACCAGCAGCCCCAAACATCTAAAGAATAAGCTACAGACCAGCCAAAACAAGCTTGTAAGAATCGTACTTAACTCCCCCCTCATACTCATTTGGACGTTGAGCATTTTAAGCAGCTAGGCTGGCTATCTGTAGAAAAAATAGTAGTATTAACTCAACTTGGTCTGGTCCAGAGAATTATCATGGACTCAGCCCCCAGGTACCTATCCAACTATTTTTCATTTGTTAGAGATGTCCACCAGCATTATATTAAAGCCAGAGACTCTAATATTCACTGTTTTAAATATAAGAGTCTATCTTGGTAAGAACACATTTTTATATACCGGTGCTGTTGACTGGAACAAACTACCACAGCAACTCAAAGCCATACCAACCATAACCACTTTTAAAATAATGTCAAAAGCTGGCTAATGTGTGCAGGATACACTTTTATTTGCCTGTATCTCTGTAATGTGTATCTATGTAATTGTATATGTATTTCCCTGTATGTAAAAAATGGGGACCACAATGGAAATAAGTCTCTGACTTTATTGTGCAATCCCGGTCACATAAAAAAATATTTGTACTGTGTGTATATACAGTGAGGGAAAAAAGTATTTGATCCCCTGCTGATTTTGTACGTTTGCCCACTGACAAAGAAATTATCAGTCTATAATTTTAATGGTAGGTTTATTTGAACAGTGAGAGACAGAATAACAACAAAAAAATCCAGAAAAACGCATGTCAAAAATGTTATAAATTGATTTGCATTTGAATGAGGGAAATAAGTATTTGACCCCCTCTCAATCAGAAAGATTTCTGGCTCCCAGGTGTCTTTTATACAGGTAACGAGCTGAGATTAGGAGCACACTCTTAAATGGAGTGCTCCTAATCTCAGTTTGTTACCTGTATAAAAGACACCTGTCCACAGAAGCAATCAATCAATCAGATTCCAAACTCTCCACCATGGCCAAGACCAAAGAGCTCTCCAAGGATGTCAGGGACAAGAGTGTAGACCTACACAAGGCTGGAATGGGCTACAAGACCATCACCAAGCAGCTTGGTGAGAAGGTGAAAACAGTTGGTGCGATTATTCGCAAATGGAAGAAACACAAAATAACTGTCAATCTCCCTCGGCCTGGGGCTCCATGCAAGATCTCACCTCGTGGAGTTGCAATGATCATGAGAACGGTGAGGAATCAGCCCAGAACTACACGGGAGGATCTTGTCAATGATCTCAAGGCAGCTGGGACCATAGTCACCAAGAAAACAATTGGTAACACACTACGCCGTGAAGGACTGAAATCCTGCAGCGCCCGCAAGGTCCCCCTGCTCAAGAAAGCACATATACAGGCCCGTCTGAAGTTTGCCAATGAACATCTGAATAATTCAGAGGAGAACTGGATGAATGTGTTATGGTCAGATGAGACCAAAATCGAGCTCTTTGGCATCAACTCAACTCGCCATGTTTGGAGGAGGAGGAATGCCAGGGGGTAGGGAGGAATTGTATTTTCTGTTTGTTGAGATTGACATACAGTACCAGTCAAAAGTTTGGACACACCTACTCATTCAAGGGTTTTTCTTTATTAATAATGAAACACCCTTGAATTAATAGGTGTGTCCAAACTTTTGACTGGTACTGTAGTCTATTTATTGTGGTGTTGAAAACGCAAACCATGATATTGAAGCGCCCGAATTCGGTATGCTTTGTAAATTGGTTTTGTGGTGCATTGGCACTAAAACCTGTTGGTGGAAAATGTGTTGCATATATTTTATATAATTATAAATATGGCATTTAAATGTTGAAAATCAGATTTCCCCTAGCTGATCATTGTCTGCAGCCGGCTCTGATCATAGTGTAGGCCTAATGAAACAGGCAAGGAGAGTGAGCATTTTTTTTATGACACCTTGAGTTGGACCAGCACCCCTTACCAGTAAATTTCTAACTGTCCCTTAACTGTTCTGAATAGCCAGGGACTGGAGTATTCTAAGCTCTGTTGTATGTAATTGCTGGCTTTTTTTGCATATTGCACATAACCATTAATTTCAGTTGTATGTAAATGTCTGGCCCTTTCTTTCAAAGTAATTCAACTCACATCAACCATGAAGGTCTTAGAGCCCGAAGGCGATTCAAATAGGCAAGGTGACGTCACACACCACCAAGTTCTATGAATCTAGCTGTTATTACTTGGTAAATGAACACAACGGAAGCAAACTAATGTTTGCCTGGCTACCAAGACTCCTTGCTCTGCCACGCCCACGGACGTTAGTTTCTTCTCCACAATGAGTCTGGGTCTGAGTACCTCCCCGACCCTTCAACGAATGCGAACACATTCGGGCAGTCTGATTGGTCCAGAATCTGATGGGTTGGGCCAGAGCCGGAACACACGTGGGTAAAGCGGTGGTTTGAACATTCGTCATTGGCTTTGATACTCTGATTGGTTAGAGACGATCCAATCGCTGATGACTTTGTTTTGTGCAATGCCCCTCGTGCCCCTCGTCACCACAAATGACTTCAATGATGGAGTCTCAGACTAAAGAGAGCAGCGGAACAATTCAGTGAGTCGTCAGGCTAAACTAATGCATGAAGACTGCGTCAAACCTCGACTTCAACACCTACAAAAGTAGCTGGCTGTTACATGAAAAGTAATTGATCTTGACTTGATCGACTAACCACTTTGAGTTAGATGAAATTATTCTATCCTCGATTTTCACAATGTTTGTATTGATGGAGTTTTAGGCATTATCTATTGAACCAAGAATTAAGAGTTTGACATAGCCCTACTTTCAACAACTTGGCATTTCTTTATTTTGCTGTCTTAAGAGTCTGGTTGCCCTTCTGAAACATTAAAAACAGTCTCTTTGTGTGTGTGTGTGTGTGTGTGTGTGTGCACTCACTCTTTTCACATGCATTTGCGTTACACACTTAATATGCACCAGTGTGTGTGTATGTGTGTAAACCAGCGTTTCCCAAACTCTGTCCACTTTGGTTTTTGCCCTAACACCACACAGCTGATTAAACTTATCAAAGCTTGATGATTAATTGATTATTTGAATCAGCTGTGTAGTGCTAGGGCAAAAACCAAAACGTGCACCCCTTGGGGTCCCAAGGACCGAGTTAGGGAAACCCTGGTGTAAACACTTGCAAGGGCCCTCCCTCCCATCTGTGCCTTTGCTTTATCAAAGTACAAGGCAGGGGCTTAACTTGTCTGACAGCACAATGTCTCCCTGAAATGGGACTGGGAAAACCATGAAAACCATGAAAACTGTCTGGACCACGATTTGACTGAGCCCCATGGCCGAGCTGATAGCTCCACTGTCACATGAAAGAGGAATAGGAAGCCTCTTCTACCTCCGAAGGGGCTGAGGCTTCTCTTCTTTTATTTTTGTTCTGCCTCACGCTTATTTATTTATTTTGGGCCGCGTAAGCCCTTTTTCCGCGCTTCAGTAATAAAAAGGGAAAGCGGGATGGCTTTGAGGCATGGATGGATGGAGTGAGTGATCAGTCAGCGCAGAATGACAAGGGAGGGAGGAGAGGAGTGACAGTACCAACACCCTTTGCAGCCCGTCACACTACCTGACACCTGCGATAGGCACACCTGTCAAGATCAGGACCTGTCATAGGAGGCGTATGTGTGTTTGTGTGAGAGGGTGTGTGGGTGTGTGTCTGCTTTCGAGTGTGTGTATATTGAAGGCCCCGAAGCGGACTGGCGTGAATGCATACACAAAGGAGCCTCATATCTCAGCCCTGACGGCCCCATATTTGCTCAAAGAGGGCTTTCACAGCTCTCCAGTCTTGCAGGTTTAGACTGTGTTCACAGTAGCTGAGCCTTCTGGGTTCTAAAGAGGCTTAAGTGCCCTGGTTAACCTGGCCTTGCCACTGGTGTTTAAGAGAGAGGAAAATAAGGAAAAGTGTAGCCTCAGAAAGAGAAAGAAAGAGAGAGAGAGACTCTGAAGACTGAGTGTGGTATCCAGCATGAATCCACAAGCCCTGGGCAATGGAATAACCAAATCTGCCAAAACTCCTATCTCCAATCATCCACCATTCCGTCTGTGGATAGTTTGCTGAACATTTACAGATTATCTTCAGGGCCCTATCCAATTCGAAATGACCCAACTGCCTCTCCAGCAGCAACACAACAACAAAATCAAATAGGATTGTCTCTGTCTTTCAAAATGTGTCTATTTAAGCCCACAACCGTTTCATCGATAAATATTTGACTGGTAATTTTCTTTCCAATATAGGGAAGGTAACTTAAAGCCTACAGGTGCAATTAATTATGATGCAGTACTAATGCATTGTAATATGTGTCATGAGCAATGGTGGAAAAAGTACCCAATTGTCATACTTGAGTAAAAGTAAAGATACCTTAATAGAAAATGACTAAAGTAAAAGTCACCTGGTAGAATACAACTTGAGTAAAAGTCAAAAATTATTTGGTTTTAACCCTCCCGTTGTCCTAGGGTCAAAATGACCCGCCACTGTGTTGAACCAACTTTATTTAATTTTTATATTTTTTGGATCATTTGTGAGAAGGAGGCAGTGATACTTTCTTTAAAGTCTCACTGCCTCCTTCTCACAAATGATCCCCGAAATATAAAAATTAAATAAAGTTGGTTCAACACAGTGGCGGGTCATTTTGACCCTAGGACAACGGGAGGGTTAAATATACTTATGTTTCAAAAGTAAATGTAATTGCAAAAATATACTTAAGTATCAAAAGGTAAAGTAAAAGTATAAATCATTTCACATTCCTTATATTAAGCAAACCAGACGGCACAATTGTGGTACTATATAGACTGATAATATAAACTGTATGAAAGACTGACCTGCTCCTTTGGTAACCACCAGTTTGGGTTTGCTGCGTGCTCCATCTCCCTTAGTGGTGTACGCAGCTACTGTGATGGAGTAGGTGGTGTCCGGCTGGAGCCCTCCGATGACCATTTCCTGTAGGAAAGAGGAAGTAGACAAACAATATATCAGAACACCGGTCAAAACATATGACCATCACCACCTCCGCAGCCAACCACCTTCTCTTACTATTTTATCGTGTTCTGCTGCTTTTGACCTCTAAGGTGGATATAATGCTTTCTGTCCTCCATTTTGTTTGCAGGTTGAATCCTGCTAATCCTACCGCTCCCTAAACATTATATTACTCCCTAAAGCTACAAGATGCATATGAAAAGGAGGGGCAAAATGGATATACATTATCTGAGGCATTAGCCAAGTTACGCTCACAATAAAAAAGAATATGCACGCTGGCGCATGCAGTTTTCCTTCAGCCATTATTGTCTCTGGTTCTCTTGAGAGCGGAATCTTCGATCAATGCTGATGAATCTTTCAGTAGAGGGGCTTGGCTAGATAAATGAATGCAGGATGTTTTTAGACTGGTCAGCTGGGAGATGGAGAGGTCAGCGGCGGTAAAGAGAGGACATATGTACTGTTTTCACACCAAAGACGGCGGCGGCCATATCATATATATCATGCAAGTGTTTATGAAACTGGGGAATGGGGCCAAACGTTAAGACTCAAATTATGTCCGAAATTAATTGTTGATAAACACAAGGGCCAATCGGGTGAGTTTGAGGAGGTATGATGATGAGGCAGCCATTTTAGATTTCAAGACTCTGATGATACATTGTATCATTCATGTTAAGATTGACTTAAAAATAACTGTCTAAACAATGAGACCATTGATTAACGGATGGAAGAATGAGATTTCACACTCAATCTAGGCAGGGAACCGGCAAAGTAAAAGAAAAAACAGCAAAATCGCATCACAAAACACACTATCACATCATAACACAACACGACACGACGCACACCACGACAACAAACAGTAGCACGAAGTAGCATTAAGCAGTCCAGGCACAGGGAGAAGCAGCACCCAGATATTGCATCAGCCACCGTCTCATCTTCCGCTCAGCTAATTAGCATTAGCAATTCTGCCTTTACTCTCTCTAGGACATCAATACTTGAGATGGGTCGCACCGGATAGGCTATGCTCACTTGAGAGAGCCTGTTCATAATATATAGTGTTAGGGCATTACTGATAAAGCACCCTAATATCAAAGCTCTATTGAATAGGATGATGTAATTCCTGTCTTTCTTATACATGTGAACATAGCTGGGGTGATGCAATACCCAGTGCTTTTTATCCCCCCAACTACACCGTAGCACTCTGGCGACTCCATATATACTCACGTATTCGGCTGTATCGTCCGTTTCCCACTAATCCCCCCCCCCCATATAGAGGAGAGTGCAGGAAAGAGAGCGATTTTTAAAAGAGAGAGAAAGAGGGAAGAAAGAGGAGTGTGAGAGGGTGAGAGGAACTCAAGAGAAGGGGAATGTGAGAAGGGAGCGTGTTGAGAAGAGGGTGAGAGCACAGACATGTCAGAAGAAGGTTGTTGTATACAGGTCAGACCAGAGAGAGGGATAGAGGGGAGTTAGTCTGTTTTATGGAGAGCAGCTGAGGCTAGGGGAAGAGGTGTGAACTGAAGTCTATGGGGGCTGTTTACAGTGGCTTTTTTAGGATGTTACTGTATCTACTGTAATAATTGTGCATTACCTCCAAGTTGGATGACTAAAATAAAATGTATAAAAGATTACTAAAACATCCAAACATTGGCTGAACCATTAACAATTTGTCAACAGCCTGTCATAATAAGGTCATTTTTACGAAACATTTAGTTATACAGGTTATGCTCATTGAGATAAAATCTATTTTACAAGAAAGACCTGTGAAAAAAGAGACCACACATCATGAATGCTGCTTGAAAGCGTTGTGGAATAGATATGTTAATAGACTTCTGGGGATAAATATTCAGTTTGTTTGTGTACTTTCGCTTTGTTTGTCCTAGTGGTGCAAAACTGTAATTTACTGTATGATGACACAGCACACCGAAAATACTTTGTGTATTTCCTCCACTGTTTTGTTGACAGAGGCTTTGTAAAAACTGACCATTGTGCCGGCTCCCATTATAATTCTAGCTTTCAGGGAGGACCATTTTTCTCTGAAATGCTTTCATGCCAATTTTGGTTTTCCAGCCTCAGAATACTATAATCAGCCATTTTGTGCCTAGTTGCTGTGCTCGATACGAGCCGTGCAATCACACTTTTCAAGAAGTGGACCACTGAGGTTCTCTTAAAGGGGGGTCTATACAGTCCTAATAAAAGGAGGGGAAGTGAAAGAAGGAAGGTGTGATTATTTGTTGAGGGCAGAGGAGAGGAATATTGTAGAAACATGAAATTATAAACTAAAAGGGGAGAGCATAGGTATTGTACATATTGTAGCACACATTGTAAAAGTAATGTGTGCATTTACACTTTCACAAAACTTCAAACAAGGTTTTCAGGTTCTTCTTCAGTTTGTTGTATCTGTGACAATTTTTCTTTCATATTACACTATAAAACAGCTTTTAACTAATCTTTACATGGGCTCTCATGTCACTCCATAAGAGTGTGTCATTCCAATAGGACAGCTTGATACAATGAATTAGTTAATTGGTGGACCAATAGGGGCTGGATCATACCTGGGCGTCAGCTAGCATGACATCCTTGATGAGGGGCAGACCGCGCGACTCCCCGTTCTCCACGCGCACATAGTGCACCTGGTAACCACGGATCTGGCCGTGCTGTCGCCCCGGCAACAGGGAGCGCCACATGACCTTGAGCGCCGTGGAGTTGAGCACCTCCACCTCGACCCGCCGAGGAGGAGCCCCTGGAACTGTGGGTAAAAAAAAAGATAGGGCCCATGTTAAAACACTGCGACAGCATAGTACTACAAGAGCTATTCCCCTGACAGCCAGAAACTTAAACTCTGCAGTCCGCTCACATACCCCCCACCCCCACCACAGACTGTAGGGGCAAAGCTTTCAAGCACACAAAACTGTACTACACAACTGTCTCCCTCACCTGACCTCCCAATACGTGTCTACTCTGTGTCGCCGGTCTCCGGTTAAACCCCTATCTCGCAGACATAACGGAAAGCCTTTATGTGAGGCCTTGGCGTCCTGCCTTTTACTGTGCACCACACTGGCCTCCAGAGACATATTGGCTCCTACACACAGTTAATAAAATGGTGGCCCATTTGCACCGGTGTATTGTGGGGGATGGCGAGCCATCAGTTGGCTGAGTTGCTGTCAGCCTCCATCAGTGGAATTGGCTGTGCTGTGACATGGCCAGACATGCGAGGGCCTGAGGTGTGGCCTGCTCATAATCGTTAGAGGCTGAACACTAAGCTGTTAGACACCATAGAGGAAGAAGGAGATGAGATGGGGCGGCTATATCATAAATTCAATGTAGGAGGGGAGGGGAAATGGTTTAACAACGACTTTTAGATTTCCCAAGGATATTGTGATGTCGCTTGGGTGGTCTGGTTTTTATTAAGACACTTATGTCTGGGGGTCCTTGATTTGAACCACTGAGCTAAGCTATTGACAGTGTGAATTTATTCTATGTTTAGGGGTTTGGAAAAGCTATTGTATGGGCATCATAACTGAAGCTATACTATAGGTGAGATAATTGTATGGGTTGCTACTGCTACAACCCTGTTATCATACGGTAGTAGAGGTATTGCCCATTGTCTGAGAAGCAGATCGTTGTGTAGCTATGTCGACAGCCCAGGTATTGTATTTTCTCACAACAAGTGTACAGAATATCAGTATTGCAGGTGAAATAAGCTCAATTACCATCCTCGTCAGTGCGGCAGAGCAGGGGCTCGCTCTCTGGGCCCGGCCCGATTTCGGTGAAGGCGGCCAAGGTGACACGGTACTGGGTCCATTTCTCCAGCTTCTGGAGCAGCACCTGCCCGTCGCTGGGCGGCACGGCCGGCTCCTCCATGGGTTCCCCGGCACCGCCGCCGCCGCCACCCTCTATGGAGGCTCCCACCACCTGGTAGCGCACTAGGTACCCCGCCAGGGCGCCATTCTGGCTCTCCACAGGCGGGGGGCGCCAACTTACCAGCAGGGTGGTGGAGCTGGAGCTGCTGCATTTAATGTCTTGAGGGGGGGCTGAGGGCTCTGGTCAGGTGGGAGGATAGGGAGGAAGGGGGGAGGAGGTGGAGGAGACGGAGGAGGAGGAGGGGAGGAAGGGGGAAAGGGGTGAAAAACAAAAAACAAAAAGATGGGAGAGATAAAGAAAATGATAAAAGGAAAAACCCAACTCAAAAGGAGACTTGAACTGACAGAAATGTTAACAAAACAGAAACACTGACTCGTCAGGCAAATGTAAACGTAAAAGGTGTAAGGAGGACTGGACGACACAGCGTGCATAATAATGAAGCAAAATGGATGCCTCTTGTGAGATACTGGGCCAGTTCTTTTGATAGCTGGGACTATGTCACGGACTCACAGAGTTATATTTCCAGACATGTGCACAGTGGTCTGTAACACCTAGGGGTCTGTCAGGGTCTGTCAGTTATCAGCCTGTGTGTGATACCACGGGAGATATCTGATGTTAGCCTGTCCAGGCCTGCACACTCACACTATTGATTAAAGGATAAAAAACCACAGCCTCTCTCTTTCTGGCAGCCTTACACTCCTCCTTAAACTGAAAGGTGTTGTACTTCCAGTATGGGAGTTAGAGGAAGGGGGAGAAGTAGCAGAGTGGGTATTTTTATTATCATTATATAAAAGCCATTCAACACAGTGGCTGGGTTTTTTGTGTGGAGCGCTCTTCTAAAACATATCAAAAGCTACACAACTTCTAAATCAAAATGAAAGCCTGTACGTTCTAATCTGCACAGAGCTCTTAGAGCTTGTGCTCACCGAGTGAGCGTGCAAGGAGTGATAAAATGTTTCACTTCTCACCCCGCACCAGGCATTAGACGGATAAGAGGACATAGATGACACCCTTTCTATTCAAGTCAAGATCCCCCTTTTTCTACCAACACTCGTCCATGTGAATATAATATATTATTATTCACTGAATTTGTGACAAGCCCAGTTCATTATTACTATCTAATTCATCTGTAATAGTGCTGGAATAAGCTAAATGAAAAACATGAATTCATAGAAAAAGGCATTCCACATTGATTTGCTCAAAGACAAAAATGGAAATTGGATCCACAGGAAAAACAAAATATAGTATGTTTTCATTCCAAAACAAGAGCTGGAGAAAGCAAAACACAAATTGATACAAGGTACTGGAAAATGAATTGGATCTGTAACCGAGGTGACTCAAAAGAAAGAAAAACGTTAGGGTCCAAAATGTCAAATCATAACAAACATGAAAAAACAGACTATTGAGCAGAAAACGGAAAATAAGAACATTAAAACTTCAAAACACAAGTACATTCTGCATTATACGTACCTGGCTTCCTTCAAATACTAACTTTTGAAGACTTTCTTACCACCAGCACCTGACTACAGATTGCGCTCACCCTGAGCCAGTGAGCTACAACCCTCTCCTTCCACATAGTGTGTCCAAATAGAGGCACATCTTATCAAATTCAAAGCCAGAAAACTGTGCTTTGTAGTTGGTCAAATTGGCCTGTTGAGATAGGTAGTTTTGAGCTCTTTTGGGTTGCTAAGAGTGAGAGAGTTGGCTCTGTGCTGTAGCCAGGTCTGCATTATACTCTTGTATAACTTGGGCCGGAGGGAGGGTCCACAAGACTGAGGAATGGGAGCAGTTGGGGAAAACCTACACCCACTGGGTTCTGTGTTTCTGCATTTGACCTTGGGAAAAGGACACTGTTTCTTTTTTACCATAAACGTTTGCTCAGAGAATCCCATTTCATAGCTTTCCCACTTGTGTACCGGTGGGGAGTAGCCTGCCGCTAACTCTTAAACAATAAAAAAGAACACAGACAGCACCAGCACCGAGACGGACGACTTGTGCTGCTGCATTCATTAAGGTTACTGCTGCGGTACCAACCGTACTGCCATTCTTGCTAACAGTGCAGCCGGAGAAGATAGGAGGTCTTTACGATCAGTGGATGGTCTCAGTCAACAGATATAAGAACTGACTGTTCTGGAACAGATACAGTTTGGAACCTTTTCTGAGTCCAATGTGCTTATTTACTTACGGTTTTACCGGATTTCAGCCTTTCAGTCTCTCTCCATTCTTCCCCGCAATAGATTGTATTTTGCAAACTCTCAGTGTCAAGAACGATTGCTCAGTGCTCAATCTATGTGAAGAGAGAAGCTGTGGAATCTGACAGGGTTTGATCTATGGTGCCACGCAGACCCCTCACACCAGATACACTTAAGACAGGCAAGGGGCACAGCCATGGGGTAAGCCTCGGTTCTCACAAAGCCCAGTGGTGGAGATTATGGACACTAGAACTATGACAGCAACAAAAGATGGAACTCTGGTAATGCTTCACTTTCAGTAGGTCTTTTGAAGCATATTTTGAAAGCCTGTATGAATGCTATATGATATGACATACAGTATCATTAGTCATGTCTGTGGAGATATCGCCACCAGATTCTAAGTCTGTTATGATGTGAACGGAAGCTTAGAGGGAGATGTGGTTTGGGATGTTTTCTAATGCTGGTAGAGGCTTTATAAATTACTGCAAACATGTACATGTACCTCCTTCAATAGCCCTGCTCGCAACACAAGCTGGTCCACAAGTCATTAGTCTGCGGCTAGTCACGAATCAAATTCGCATTCAGTCAGGGAGTGTAAGTACAAGATGCGTGCGTTGCTTTATTTTCACCCTCAATGTCAAATGTCAGAGCGGTATTTGTCATTATTACGGAATTAATCCGACTCCATGCCAAATGGCCGCTTTCCTACAAATATTCCAATATATCTAAAAACATTCAGCAATTACAGTAAGTGGGGGGCTAAACTGCTTGTTTGGCTAAATACAGGGATTTAGAATCTGCCACTTTAATTTGAGCGATAACACTCCTCTGGGTGCTGGCAGCTTCAAGGTATAATCTAAATGTGTAACAAAGCCTGACAATCCAGAGGTCTCCCTATAGCTCATCGGCAAAGCGTGAAATTAATTCAGACGCTATGAAATGGGATTCTTATCTGACATCCTAGGGCCCTTCACTCTCCCCACTGCAAACCTCACGTAACATCCACCCCGGGGTCTGGCCTGCCCCCATTACGGTGCCTCTCGGCTGGGTAACGTTGAGGGAGATAAGGGGAGCTCCCGGTCCTTGGTGTGTGGACCCTCCATGGCCGCGTCTGAACGGTTGTCTCATAGGTGTCTCAACCTCGTCTGATTGGGACAGCGTATCCCAGGGGGCCTTGCGTCTGAATGGGGGCCATTGCTGCCCACAGGACCAGTGTAGGAACATTTAACTCACTGGTGCCACATACATTTCTTTGTTTCCTTGCCCAAAATAATTTGACTCAGATACACTTTAATTGATCTTCTTGGAGTCAGATATTACAGATCAGAGATCAAATAAGTGATTTCTTGAAGCTAAGGTGTAGGTGAGGAGTCGGGAGAGAACTCCTTGGCTGTGGGTTTTCACTGGTCCTTAGTGGCAGAGCGGTCCCCATGACAATGGCCCCTGGTCACGCCACACTGACTGAAGACATACTCCACACTCTGAGGACATTTGTACTGTACCAGAGAGAATAGACAGAAAGGAAACAAGGAGAAGATTGCCTTTTGTCTTTCACTTCACTTGGTTGGAAAAGAGGTCCAATCTGCCGAGTAACACAAGGGTAATTTGCAAGCTCAAATCCAGGCTTAACTGTTCTCTGTACTAATTATTTTTTTTCTCCCGTCCTAATGGTCTTTCCCTAACATGTCATTAGTGTTTAAACACATCTGAGTGTGTGAGCAGCGGGCCGAGTCAAGCCGCTGGTAAACAAGGTTTCCTCTTTCCCTCATTATACTGTAGCCTGCAATAGTGTGTGTGTGTGTGGCTTATGTATAGCGAGCAATCTCATGCTGCTCCAATGAGGTTTGTGTTTATAATGACAGTGTCTGGCAGTGCCGCACTAAGGTAATTGGATTCTTAGAAGGGGGAGGAGGATGGAGATATGTATGAGGGACAGCAGTCTAGGGCGGCGGTCATGTGTCTCAAAGCAGTCTCCCAGAATCCCTTGGTTTGTTTTAAGGATGAAACTATGTGATGATTGGCTTTGCCTTTTGCGATGGACACAGTACACTCTTTACTTTACTTTATGTACCTCTCCACTCTATTACTGCCAAAGTAGAATACCTTTGTCTTCTAAAAAGCCGGCACTTTAGGGTGTGTGCGTGTGTGTGTGTGTGTGTGCTACACGTCAGACTCTAATAGTACACTCAGTTTTGATGAGGTTTTTGCCACGAGGCAGGGAGTTTCAACTAACTCCACTCTTCACTGCACTGAAGATACTTGCCCTGAGCTAAACATGTCACAAGGAGCTTTATTAACTCTCTGAGCTGTCTGGAAGAGACATATACTCTCTATTGCCGAAATGTATATGTAGCCAAAACACAGACATGTTGTATTAATATTTAACAATTTCACGTATGGAGTCTACTAACCTATTCTTGTCTCTTCTTTTGGGATGATTATAATGGAAGTAGACATCTAAGTTAATGAAGGTTGAGTGGGCTAAGTGGCAGGTCACGGGGGTAATGGGGGGGGGGGGGTCATTGCTATGGGCTACGGCAGACTGGACCACCTGTGCCAAGCAAACACTTACCTCAAAGGCATCCACAAGATCATGTTTTGTTTTGATGTTTTTGTGTTGTGGTGTGAAACACAGTTTTGATTTGACTGTCTGAGTCCGTAACCTTTCTGACCTCTTTGATGTGAAGCCATTGGCTTTTTCTGACACCTACTTCAGAAGGGATGGCTGGCTGTACACGAGCAGCCATTGGACTAAGAAAAGTGACTGATGTCCCTGGACTCTAACGACAGAGCTCAAGGGGTTGATAAACGGAGACCCTCAGCACAAGCAGAGTGCTGAAATAGACCCCAGGAGATACTTACTCTAGTTAAATGGATAAGGTTTGGAAATGTTATCGCTAAGTGGTGTATGTTGTAGCTGTTGTGGTGGCTGCAGTTGACTTCACATTAGAACCCAGCAAAAATGTGGCAAGCTGCTTCCTGATGTAATGTGAGCCGTATGCTTTAAAAAAATAAAATATCTAACTCAAAAGTTATTAAATTGACTCAACAAAACAGGAGGAAAGAAACAAAGTAAGCAAGGTGATGTCAAGCCATTCCAAGGAGAGCTTTTGTTCCATTTCAGACAAGGGGGAACATGTGACAGAGACAGCAATGGAAGGACAGACAGAGAGACAGAGACCGACACCGAGACAGAGAGAGAGAGAGAGAGAGAGAGAGAGAGAGAGAGAGAGAGAGAGAGAGAGATAATGGAATGGCTGGAATGGAGTGAATGGAATGGCATCAAACACATGGAAACCATTTATTCTATTCCAGCCATTACTATGAGCCTGTCCTCCACAATTAAGGTGCCACCAGCCACCTGTGACATACATACATACATATACAGGCGAAAATACCCACACACATACTCACACACATACTTGAAGACACAGAGACAGAGATGGAGTTGACTGTGCATATACAGGTAGGGTCATGCCTGGTGTAGCCGTTGATCAAGGATGCAGTGACAGAATCTCAACCCCCCCCCCCCTCCTTGGGGGATAGGAGGGAGTGTTGCATGCAACTGGTGCCCCATAAGTGATTCAGCAGCATTGTCTGCAGAGCTATCCCCACCACAACCAACATAAATGTGAAGTGGTTATCCCAAAGCCCTACACCCCCAACAAGGGGCACGGCTAACAAGTTGCACTGGTAGAAACAGAAAATGTGTTACATTTTAAAAGAGGTCTCCTCCCACTACCATGGCTTTCCGATGGCCAACCCCAGTCAAAGTTCTTCATTGTAAACCCCTTAGGAATCTGACAGAGGACAAAACAGCTCCAATCTATTCTCCAATTAAACATCCATGTACATTAATGAAAGTATAATGGAATTGTGTGGGCTATGATTACATGGATGCTGTATGATTAATACACTCATTTGATCTAGGCTAGGGAATATACATATTTGAGCAATGCTCATTGATCTGTACAATTTATCTATATGAACTTACCACCCTGCATAAATGTCCAAATTGCACAGAGGCTGCCCTGATCATCCATAATGTAAGCAAATCCAGATACATTGTCTGAGTTCTTCGGAGATAAAGCCTTAAACCTCAACACATAACTAAAATCTAAGTATTTGAATACAGTATGTAACCCCTAAGGAAGTCTGGAGACTTACAGGAGATTGTACATGTAATATCCTAACAGCTCCACATTCCTCAACCAGCATTGAATATTTTATTATTCTGCACCTACTGGGTACCATGATGTCACTTGTGTGGGACTATTTTTAGCAAGCAGTGTTTAAATTATTTAGATGTGTTCCTGGCATCTGGGGAAAAATGTACAGGTCACTCCTGAATTGATCGGCTGGAATTAATTTGCAAGGTGGGGCCGCTGAGGAGCAGTTAAGGCTTGTGATTGGATAGTTTTGCTGCCTGTCTTCTGATTCCTACACCCACCCGTCTACACCCTCCCTCACCCCTGTCTACAGACGGTTCAGCAGAAAGCCATGGCAGTCACTGGGGAGTTAGACATTTTTTGTGTCTCAGTCACATGGGTTAAAGTGCACTTGCTGTTGACAAAAGAAAACCAAATAAAAACAGAAGTAAAAGGAAGAGAAAGAAACTGCAAAACGTTGTCTGTCCACATTGACCGGTTTGTTTGACAATGTAGGATAAACTGCGTCATAGTTAGCACCATGACATACAGTATAAACCCAGGTTGGAGAATAATCAAATCAAAAGGTAAAAAGCTGTTAAAAGCCATAAACGACTGTGAATACAGTACTCACAACCTTTTGCATTTACGAACATAATCCCTATCCTCCAGAAGAACAGCAAATTGTACAGAGTGTATGTCATGTTCATGAGGCAAACGTAAAGTTATTGTTGTCAGGTTGAAGTCTTTGGGAGAAATCATCATTGGTCAGTCACAAAGCATTAAATCACATTTTCAAAAGATGACCTGCATAGTATTGAATCAAGAAAGACATTACAAAACAGAATCATCTTTGAACCCTGAGTATGGCCTCATAAAACACATTCACAGTTCAAAGGTGATGAGAACTTCGACATCTAGGCAATAACGGAGACGCTTCCTATAATTCCATGGTTCTAGCCTGGAGCCAGGAAGAGAGTTCATGTCCTCACAAAACATCTGCATGATTAAAGGTCCCCCAGAAGACACAAACACATTGTTAACCCCTGCACCACAGAATCCCACCAGCCCGCCCACACCCTACACAGAGGACATGGAGAAGAGAGCAAAAGGGCTACATACTGGCTTGCAAGGTTTTCTGGGATATTTCATTGGTGAAGGCTCCGATGCCTTTGTTGGAAATGGCGGCCAGAGAGAAGTAGTACTCTGTGTTTGCTCGCAGACCCTCAACGACGTATGAGGCAGTGGGGCCGAAAGTTTTGGTCACCTGTTGAACAGAGGGAGTAAGGCATTTTTTTGATGGAAAATAAATATCACTTCAGTTTACTGTACCTTATGTTTGTTCCTTTTTTAACCTTGTTTGCTGACCACCTTTCCTCAGATAGGGTGTTCTAAGAGTACTTAAAGGCTTGGTCAAGAATCTTCCCATAGCCTTAAACAATGGACAACAATATCTTACCTGGCTGCCAAAACTGCCCTCTTTGTACCGGAGCTCAAAGTTGATGATTCCCTCCTTCTCAAAGGCAGGTTCCCAGGTCAACTCGATGCTTGTGTCGGACACAGCGCCAACCTGGAACTTTGTTGGCTGTCCGGGGACTACGATAGTCAAAGATAAATTGCATTAGTGACAGTGATCATTGCAGTGAACCCTCTTTCCTTTCTACAGTACAGGATCGTAATGGATCACTTGTGGTATGCATTCATCCCTAGTAAGAGCACACAGACATGTTGATAGGAAAGGTTGAACCCAGAACCCTAACCTCCTTGCAGCACTTTGACATGGATGGGGTCGGAGAAGGGCCCATCGCCCACCGAGGTAAAGGCCAGGACACGGATGGTGTAGGTCTCAGACGCCACCAGGCTCTGGATAGTGGTAATGATGCTATCCTGGACATTATGGATCTGCCATAGGCTCATGAGCTGGGACGGGTCCATGGTGTAGTACACCCGGTACCCTTTGATCTGCCCGTTGGGCTCCTCAGGCTCGTCCCAGCGGACCATCATGGTGTTCTGGGAGATGATCCGGGCCTGGATGTTGCGGGGAGGACTAGCCGGGGCTTGTTCCCCGGTCCGGGTCTCCACCGGCTCACTGGGGGGACCCTGGCCGATCGTGTTGAAGGCCGAAACGCGGATCTCATACTCTGTGTTGGGGTAGAGGCCCCCGATGCTGTATCTCGTGGTGGTGATGCCGTCCATGGTCTCAAACTTGCTGTCGGGAGACTTGGCGCGGTACTGGATGATGTAATAAGACACGGGGTCCGGGTTGCCTGAGTCCCAGGTGATGGTGACGCTGGTGGCCGTGGTCTCAGTCACCATGGGGATGCCTGGGGGCTTGGGCAGGGCTGTGGGGGTCAGGTGGGGAGGGAGGGGTGAAGAGGGACTTTTAGATTACTCAGATGCAGACACAGAATTATCATAAAGATGGCACCTCATAACACATCTCAATGCTGGTTTTGCTCGACCATAGCAGTAGTAGCAGTAGCCTAGAAGAATCCCTGTGCCCCCTCTTACACTTGACTGTGATCTGCGCGACCGCCTCGATGATGCCCAGACTGCTCATGGCCACACATGTGTAGTTGGCAGACTCTCGCACGCTGTTGAGCTCTAGAACGTTCCGGCCCACCGGCATCTCGTCCTCCGGTGTCAGGTCCTCCGAGTTGAGCATCCATTTGACGTAGGGCATGGGCGACCCTACCGCCACGCAGGTGATGTTCACACTGCCACCTGGCATGATCTCGTGACTGGTCGGCGGGATGGAAAAGCGAGGGGGCACGCGCCGGACTGGGAGTGGGAAGGAGGGAGGGAAGAGGTGGAGGGAGGGAGGGAGTCAAAAAGAGAGAGAAAAAGAGGTAATAAGACCGGCCAATGAAAATGAACCTTTCAACGGCATCCGTTACATCTACAGAGATCCACACGGTACATGGCAACTGAATCAACAAAATCTAGTACGTTTTTCTAGTACATACTTTCCAAAGAAAAAAAAAAATACTAAACTAACAACAACTGCTTCAACAACAATATAGATTGACATTAAAGCAACGATTCATAGCAACAAGGTTCCATTGACCAAAATTTGACCCATCACAGCACAATTAAAGACACAAAAATCTATTACGAGTTTCTCATCTTTGAAAACTGAACTACTGACAGAATATGCATCTACATCGTGGAGTTAACACCCATGAAGACAGAGTATAATATTTGAGGGAGTACTGTATGACCGATGCCATACAGTAAACAGGAACTTCCTGTCCTCTCAGCCACTCACAGCAAACCAGCAAGTTGGCCATTATAGGCGCTCCCACAGCAAAGGAAGAATAAGGGAAGATCTCAATTGCATACTCCTCTCGTCCTCTCTCCTTGTCTCCTTCTCAAAACCCATTGCATGAGAAAGCCAGAGCTCTCTCCCCTCTGACCTTCTCCATTGGGTTTTGAGAAGGAGACAAGGAGAGAGGAGAGAGGATGCGAGGAGTATGCAATTGAGATCTTCCCTAAGACATTTCTCCCATAGTATTTATTCTATGGATAGAGTGGTTATAGTTCGAGTTGAGGCCTCATGCACCTGATTGATGAACAGGCTCATGCCCTAATGGCACCTGCTAGCTATGGCTAATGATGAGAAACTTTAATCAGATTTTTGTGTTTTAGGGTAGATCCACTGGACAAAGCCTTTTTAAGATCTGACACGGTTCCATTGATAGATGCAACTATCAGTCCCACAGACAGCATGCATAATAGATTGAGGTAAATCAAGGAGTAAATGATAAGTAAAAAAAACAGATATAAAATTTAGATAAAATGCATTGAGGAATATAACTTAAGGGTCGCTAGCATGCCCAGACAAAGACGATTGGAGAGGAAAAGAGAAATATCAGATATAGGATAAAGCGCGCGCAAGGAATAGAGAAAGAGAGAGAGACAAAAAGAGAGAAGGGAGGGGTGGGAGGAGGGAGGGGGGGAAACCCACTTCAATGCTATGTAAGCTTTTTTTTTTGCCAATGTGACCTAATGTGACAGTTGGCACATTGTCACATCGCAGTCCTGGCAGAAGTAACACAAAATAAGTATAGAGAGGAACAGGTAGTGTGTTTATAAGAGGACATAAAGAGATAGCTGTAGTAGTTGTAGCTAGAGAGGAACTATCACAGATAGTAAAAGAAGTCAAGAAACAAACCGACAGGAGGTAGAGGAAGAGCTGGAGAAAGGTAGAGCACAATGGACATGTAGGATGGGAGAGAATTGGGTGTAGGTTGAATGGTCAGAGGAAGTTGATCATGGGATTGAGAGAGGGGAGAGGGTTGGGTTGGGTAATAGTTTGGGTTTATGTGAGTATGCATAGTATATCTACATGTGTGTGATGTTCGTGATATGTGTGATGTAATGCTATGTGTATGTGTATGCCTATTTGTGTGTGTGACAGACACACTGTGTATGAGGCTATGGGACTCAGGTCGAGAGGGAGAGAGAGGGAGGGAGATGTGAATACGTAAGGGCTGAGACTCAGACTTAGAGACAGACAGACGGGGAGGACAAGAAGACGGGACACGAGGCAGAACGGAACAGACCCAAGCAGCAAGACAGCAGACTGAAGGGACAGACAGTCAGACAAGACACTGATGGGCACGAGGACGTACTGTACGCAGAGGGAGGGGAGAGGGTAGGGGAAGGTAGGAGGGGAGTGGGGCGGAAGTTGGATAGAGTAAGGAGACTGTGATTTTGGCCAAAGTAAACAAAAACATGGCTCAAAGTGGGATCGAGGTCTCGCACACTGGGGCTTCAAATCAGAGATTCAACTGCCCCCCCCCCCCCATCCCCCGGCTTGTTGCCAACAAAACCAGGGGTGCACAAAGATTAGGGGGGGAAGAAGGGGCATAGAGGAAAAATGGCATTCCAAATACACCGCGTCGATCCAAATGGGATTCATTCGATAGTAGTATCGGATAACCTTGGTTGATTTTCCACGAGGGAGAGCACCATTCAGCTTACAGCACACTCCTTCTAAAATGATTTACCTGTTTGTGTACACTACCGAGTGTGCATATCAATAAAGTAACTCTGGGCTGGGATCTATAATACCTAAACCAAGCTTGTGCACAAAGAGACATCCAAGAAATGTTAATCTCTACTACTCTCTACTAGAATCTGAACTATAGAATCAACCACAATTGATTGGTCACATAATCGTGGAGGCGTATCGCCTTTTACTTTATGTGTAAAATGACTAATAATGCAATTATTCACATGACTTGTTCTGACTGAGTTGAAGATGAATGGTGACCTTCTATGGTCTCCATTGGCCGATAATCATATTATCCTATACACTCACACCACAGCTCTCCCGGAGTACCTTAGAAAATACCTTGAATTCACTGACAATGTCAATTGTTCCACTTACTAGCTCAGAATGTAACAATCCGACCTTGAGGCTCTATTCAGATGAAGTAGCAGTAAGTTAACTTGCGGTTACTACAAATGTGCCTTTAAGATAACATTTTGTAAAATACTTTGTGTTTACTTATAGTAAAATGGTAACTCAATTGCATTATGTCAAAAAGACACCAAATAAAGCGTAACACCTTTGCACATTTTAGGCACATTTTAGACAAAAATAACTATTTCCAAAATGGCCTCCTATTTCCAAAAAATGAAAAGAAAGTAGGCACCATATTCACAAGAAGTGACAATCACAATGCTAGTAAAACGGTGGCATGACATCATTTATTTCATAACAGGTCATGACTGAATCACATCCAACCCTCCATTTATATCAACGGATATAACTTTGTTAATAGGCAGGAGAATGTAGTTTCAACATCTTTCAGATGTTAGAACAATCAGACCTGTCTGAACAATGTCATATCTATTGTCATAACTGTTATGGATTTTTGTCATGATCCCTATCCTGTCCTGTTATGGTAGGTATGATGTCACTCTTATGACAGCCGTTTTGTAGTGTACTTCGAGTAAAGTATTCAACCAAAAAGGCCATAGCCCTATTCTAATCCCTCCCCACAAAGTGCTTATTGAAGAACAAAGGTGAAAGGGCAGCCCATTCCTCACACGGACATGCATGGGTGTGACTATGGCATGAGTGACAGATAACAGTCAGGCATCCTTCCATCCACCAGGTCCAACACAAGAGAACCAGTACAGTCCAACCATGTCACCCAAGCCCATCCAAGCATGCCATTCCCAATCTAGCATGGTGTGGGGACACATACACACAAAATCAAAGAAAGGAAATCCAACTTAAAATCCACAGAACCACTCAGTCTTAATAGCATATACAATATCACAGTATGCACGTGTGTTCCTCAAGGCTCTGTATCAAGACCATTGGATGTTTTGGAACTTGTGTTTTGGGGGGGCTTCAAGGCAAATAGAGGACTTACGGCCACTTTTGTATTAGACATACATAGATCAAATTCCAAACACTTGAATATCAAATATGTCTATTCTTAAGGGAAGTCCAATCAGGTTGACATTGTATGGACATTCGAATAAGAAAATACCAGTTTTGGTTTTGATGGTGCTGTTCTCTCCCTTGGGGCGAGGGTCAGCCAATGGACCGGGAGCATTGGTGGTTGAGTGAATGAGGTTTTAACAGAGGAAGATGATCTAACCTTTCACCTTTGGCTACATGCACTTCTAAGGCCCTACTGTTACATTTTCTTTAATATAAGTCTCCCCCCTGGAAAAATGTAAACCAACCATTAAAGTCTTTAAAGCATGCGTCAGGAACGATCATCTAACTTCTAACCCTATGCGTTTATGTAGCTTTTGATATATTCTACCTTCAGAATGTCTCCAGAATATCTGTTTAAACAGAGCATCATTAGTTGATGGTCAGACAATAAACACAGCTTCGTTATATCCTATTCATCTTGAGATTGGTAGGCTGATGGTGGCAGAGGAATTGGGAGCTGGGCCCCTCAGAATGCTGTTACAGGTCGACATTCGTATCTCTAGCCAATGCCTCACCCTGCTACCATTACCTTGATATAGTACTGTATTCGAAATGAGTAAGGGATAGAGTGGAGTGCATGTCTTTTTCATGCACCTGGCTCTGTAAGCTCTCCCGAGCAGACAAGAGTGTTTGATGTGGTGACTGCTGCTCTTTCTCTGCGATGCTACCCTTTAGAAATGCAAATCCAGCGAAAAAAGAATCCCAATTGCATTGACACATCTCCTCATTCACAAAGACCAGGAGCCCAACCGGACCATATAGAATAGAGAGAATAATAGAACACTCATTTTGACTCTGTAACACATATATAATCCTATTTCAAGCCCCAATGTGGAGAGAAAGACAAGGTTTTACAGTGGACGAAGGTGAAGTAGCAGTCAAGAGAGAACGCCAGAGTACTGCGCTAACTCTAAGTGGGCAGTACGTGGAAGGAGTTCAGTGCCAAAACGGAGGTCAGAAGAAGGCGGACATTATCGGCCATTTTGGTGAGGCAGTCTGTCCTGCCCCAAAATGAAGGGGTAAGCCAAAATAATGTGCAGCCTTTAGTGTCACCTTGAAGCTGAGATTACACCCTCTTGGTGCCTGAGGACACAGGCATGATATGGAGATCCTTTAGTTACACTCGTGGAGTGAGGCCGAGCACATTTACAGAGAAACCACAGGGGCCGCCCATATTAACACAGCTTGGCTGTGGCAATGCTAAATAGTCTCTATGGGTGGCTCATCAAAAGGTATACTGATAGAAATCCTGGATGGATATCTGATAATAGCAAACACTTTTCCATCGTCTTACAGGTAGAAGACAAGCAGCCAAATTATA